AATTATAATAAATATAAAATTAAATTAAAAAATTTTCATCCATTGTCAAAAAAAATTTTAAACTCCACAAATGAAATTTGTAAGAGAATATCTAAAGAAAAATAATTAAAAAAAAGTGTTAATCACATTGTATTAGAAATTGACTTAAAAGTTTATCTGTATAATTTTTTTTTAAATTAAGGAATTTTTTATATACATTAAATAAAGATTTTTGTCAAAAATAATTGAATAGAAGTTTAAGAATTTTTGCCAACTACGATATTTGACAACGTCTAATATATATTATGTCGTATATAAATATATAAAAACTACAACTTTTGGCAAAAATGTAAAATTTCTAATGTGGATCGCCTAACATTTTGACATGTGGACTGTTTTTAGTAATTGCCATGTGTCTCGCATTTATTCTCATTATATATCAATTGATTTGATTTCATATAAATTTAAAATATTTAATGCATTAATTATATTTATTTTTTAAAAAATTTTCAACTAACTTACCTTTTATTATAAAATATCTTAAATTATAGATATAATATTAAAAAAAAAACATATTGAAATTTAAATGAGTCCATTATAATTGATTTCCATAAATTATGCCTGATTTAATTTGCTTTAACGTAAAGACTCTCTATTTTCTATTGTACCAAAAAAAATCTATTATAAATATGATATCTTGATATAGACTAGCATTAATTAGAGGTTATTTTTCAATCTTATATAAATACATAAAAGTCAAAACTTTTGGTAAAAATGAAAAAATATCTTATGTCGATGGTCTTTAAAATCGTCACTTGATATCTAATAAATGCATTTTATTTTATTTAATATATTTTAATTTTAAAATAATTCAAAAAATTAAATTGATTTATATTTATATTTTTATTATTAAAAGTATTAAAATTTAAATTACTCTCAATTCAATTCATATTAAAAGTATTAAAATTTTAAAAATTTCTTAATTTGATAAATCAAATCAATCGATATATAATTAATAAATTAATAAATACTACAATTACAATAATAAAATAGTTTATTCTCTAATCAATTATTTGATACATTTATATTTAATTAAATATAGTATCTAATAATTGATGTATTTCATGTGTAAATATATAAAGCAAATATAATTGAAAAAACTAAATTGATTATATTTATGTTTTTATTATTGATTTTAAATCACTCTCAATTCAATTCATATTAAAAGAATTAAAATTTTAAAATTTTTTTAATTTGACAAATTAAATCAATCAATATATAATTAATAAATTAATAAATACAATAATTACAATTATAAAATAGTTGATTCTCCAATTTATTATTTGATACATTTATATTTGATTAAATATAGTATTTATTTGAATAATTGATGTATTTCATGATGTATTTCATATGTAAATATATAAGACAAATATATCAAATTAATTCTCCATAATTAAATTAATAGAATAAAATATTTTATTAATTTATATTTGATTGATACATATGTATTTTATTAAATATGATTTTATTTGATTTCATTTGATAAAAGATTAATGTACGTTGATTTCATTTGTTTTCATTTGTAACATTTTATAATTTTATTATCTGATATTAATGCATGTTAATTTAATTAAAATTTAATTTAATTTATTATCATTATTAAATATAATAAATTAATTTGTTATATTGTTCTAAATTAAGCGATCTCTAAATGTTAATGATAGAATAGAATATTTCAATATCAATCAATTTGCTATTGTTAGACCATTATTCACTCATAATTTTTATTATTTCAATATTAACTTTCATAATTTAAAATTATCTTATTAATTGACTATATTTATCTTTGTATTCTTGATTTTAAATCACTATCAATTCAATTCATACTAAAATTATTAAAATTTAAAAATTTTTAATTTGACAAATTAAATCAATCAATATATAATTAATATTTAATAAATACTACAATTATAATTATAAAATAATTAATTCTCTAATCAATTATTAGATACATTTATATTTGATTAAATATAATATCTATTTGAGTAATTAATGTATTTATGTGTAAATATAAAAAGCAAACATATCAAATTAATTCTCCATAATTAAATTAATGGAATAAGATATTTTATTAATTTATATTTGATTAATAGATTTATATTTCATTAAATATGATTTCATTTAATTTCATTTGATAAAATACTAATACACGTTTGATTTCATTTGATATAATATTAATGCACTTGGATTTCATTTGATTTCATTTTTCATTTGTAACGTTTTATAATTTTAAAATCTAGATATTAATGCATGTTGTTTTAATTAAAATTTAATTTTTTTATTTTTATTATTAAATACAATAAATTTAATTTGTTTTATTATTCTAAATTAAGGGATTTTTAAATGTTAATGACAGAATAAAATATTTCAATATCAATCAACTTGCTATTGTTAGACCATTATTCACTCACAATTTTTATTATTTCAATATTAATTTTCATAATTTAAATTATCTTATTAATTAATCTACAACACACCTTTTGTATAAGTAGTTCTAGGTTAAGCATAATGTATCTTTAACCACTTTTTACTAATTTCATATTTTTTAATCACTACTCAACTCTACTTCAATTTTCTCTCTAATTTTCACTTTGTATCATTTCTTAGTCTGTACTGTTCAAATGTTATTCTCTTTTTATACTTATATTTTATAGTTCTTTAATTATGATATTAGCTTTTTTTTTAATATTTTTTGTTAATGATTGATTTAAAAATGATTGGGTATATACAAGATAAGTTTTTACCAGTAAAGTCACTATTATGATAGTTTATGCCACTTTTAGTTGATATTATATGTCATGTTGGTGTAACAAGAAACTATATGAAATTGATGAAAAATTTGAATGTTATTCCTGCAATGTTAATGTCCGTAATCCAACTCCAAGGGAATTAGTATTTATATTTTTTATATTTGATACATAAAAAAATTATTATTCCATAATGGTAATAAAAGTATTTTAAATTATTATATTATATTTATAATTACAGAATTTTATATTTTTATAAGTATAAATTGAATATTGAAGCATATGATAATTCTGGAAGGACGATATTCGTAGAGTTCAATACAGAAGCTAAGGATTTAATTAATAGAGATATTGATAATCTTTATGAAATATCTATTAAGGTATTAAGTTAAAAATTATTTTAATATTATTTAATATTCAAATTAATTGAATGATATATTTATACTTATGATTTTAAAAAATGGAGATTATAAAATCCAAAAGATATTTGAAAATCTTAAAGATAAAATTATGTGTTCAAGACGAGGGCAACCAAATATAATTTGGTACAAGTAATACTAAACTTACAGTGAATAAGGTGTATTATTTTTATTCTCAGCATAAAAGTAAAAAATTATTAGATGAGGTATGTATAGACTTATTATAATGATTATGTTTGTTATAAAATTATATAGTCTAGATTATAACTCAACTGTTATCAAATTACATATTACTATTTTATCTATTTTTTTACCTTTATCTGTGAAATCTATTAACTCATCAAATAAAATGATACCTACTTCAAAGATAGTAAAAATACTAAAGAATCAATTGCTGCATCTTCGCTTTAACAACAACTTATGGAAGAATCTCTCATAAAAATAGTTTGTATGCGAGATTGATTTTAACGATAAAATTTTTAATTTTTTCAAATTGAAAACATCATTGCCTTTTGTTTAGATATTATTTTGATTTAATAAATTATAGTTTGAGTTTTCTTTAGATCTAATGATAATTGCATAAGTATATTCAATTTGTAATTAATTAATTTTATTATATTAAAATATATACATTTAAATAAAAATAATTATATAAGTTATGAGTTATTCATAAACTTCATAACTTATGTTATCATTTTAAAAAAAATTATATTTATATAAGATTTATTGATATATGAATATATTATCGTGTATCACATGAGTTTAAAACTAATTACATTAACTTTAGATCAAGGTAAACCTATCATACTCTTCCACAATTGCAATTTGTTTTTTTTTTTTTCTCAATAATTTATATTTCAAATTATGAGTGTTTTGGTAGTTTTATTTTGGACCATTATCATGAAAGAAAAATGAAGTGAAAAACAAAGATGTGCACTAATTTTTTTTACAATATTTACCTTTATTTTTTGGTAATAATTTTTCTTTTGTAAATTCTTAAGTCTCAAAAATGAGACTTTAATTTAATTATTTAAAATCGCAATAGTTGATTTTTTAAAACTTAGTTGCTCTCATTAAGTCTGTAAACAGTTTATTTGTATTTTTTGCTTAAAAGCGTAAATGTCACTATTAATATTATCACGATACTGTTGCCATTTTTTTTTTGATTCTCTTATCAAAATATATAATTGTAATATACTAGACACACATGCTTTATTTTAGTTAATATTTTTAGTTTGTTTTCATTTTAAAATTTTTTTGATTAGTTAATTTTATTTTGGTTTTAACTTTTAGATGAATTGTTTTCAATATTTTTATTTAATAAATATTTATTTTTTTTCATTTCTTTTTTTACCATAGGTTATTACTAGAATTAAAATGGATGATAAGAGTATGGGAGAAGAAATTATGAAAGATGATAATCAAAGAAGATCTTCAACAACACTATCATAAATTTAAGTTTTTTAGAATAGTATTATGTATATATTATTAAAATTAGATTTCTAACAACAAAATTATCATGAAGATATAAGGTTTTTTTATAAAAATATAATATTTTTAAAAATAAAATACGTTAACTTTTGTAAACAATAATATAACACAAATAATAATAAAATCACTTGCTCCATGCATGGTATGGATTTAAAATTAAATTACTAATAATATATAAAGTATACACGTTGATAGTGTATATATACATACATATATATATATATATATATTTTGAAGGGAATCAAAACCCAGTTCACACTGGATAAAGCCCAAAACGAATTATACAGTTACCTCAGCAATTAAGTAATAAAATAAGACAAAAAGCAAAGAAAATTCCTAAATAAATAAATAAATGTTCATAAAATTTCTCATCCGACGAAGCTTCCTGGAAGTTGCAGTGTGGAACTTACAGTTCCCAACTATTTAAGCACCGCACCTGCTCCCCTCAATTCTCATAGTTATTCATTTGTCTTCAGCTTTTCTTCTTTGTTGTTTGGCACTCTTTTCTTAAATCATGAAGCTCATCAGCAGGCTGAGTCCCAAACGTCTTTTTCGATCTAGTAAAAAAGACCGATTCATTGTCTCCAAATTCGACCCTTCGTCGTATAGTTCTGGGTCCGCTACGTCGTCATCTTCTTCTTCGTCAGACTCTATCCACAAAAGAGATCAGTACGCTTCGACGGCTACTGTTGATTTCGGAACTCCCACCAGCGTTTTGCCAGAAATATCAGGTGACTGGTCGGATTTTTCCGCTAATTTTAATCTTGAACTTTGTCAAGCTTTTAAAATAATAGACAAAGATAATGACGGGGTTATAACGAGAAGCGAGCTCGAGTCTCTGCTTAGCAAGGTCTGCAGGCATCCGCCGAGCCGGGAAGAGGTTTCGTTGATGTTGAGCGAGGTTGATGGTGACGGTGACGGTGACGGTGACGGTGACGGTGACGGGTGCATCAGCCTGGAAACGTTGATGAACCAGGTGGTTGGACCTGCTTGCGACGAACCGGCTTGTGAACCGGAGCTTAGGGAGACGTTTGATCTTTTTGATACGGATCATGATGGGAAGATCACAGCAGAGGAGTTGATGGCGTTTTATAAGGACACAATAGGGGATGAGCTGTGCACGTTAGAGGATTGCCGGCGCATGATAGCGAGTGTTGATAAGAGCGGAGATGGATTCGTGTGCTTCGAGGACTTCTCCAGAATGATGGAGCTGCAGAGATGATCATGATTATGTGTTTGATAAACATGTAATTGAGATGCACTTGATTTAATGGGGAAAAAAAGAGAAAAAGTCTTTGTTTTTTTTTTTTTTCTTAAATCTGGAATTTGGGTGGTTTTTTTTTTTTTGTCTTTAAATTGCTTTTTGTTGGGTTTAATTAGGGTTGGGGATGTCAAAAATCAGGCTCAGATTGGTTGATCTGAAGCGAGAAAAATGTGCCTTGTGTGCCCAAATGATGTATCATAAGACGGGAAGAAAAAAATTCCTCTCTTATCAGTTTGTGGTGTGCGTTTTATGGAATTTTATTTTATTTTTATTAATTTTAAAGTTGTATTGGAATTTCGAATTCATAAAGATGAAAAAGATCAAAAAGAGAAGGACGAGAACAAATTAGATATATTTTTGACCATGAGAGTCAATGATAATTGATAGAGAAGAGAAGTGGTAGAAAATAGATGAATAATTTATTTGGTGATAATAATAAATTTTGCTATGTTTTATTCATGACGACACATTATAGCATTAAGTAAAATTTGTTTTAAACGGTTGTAAAAATAAAGAAAAATGACCCTTTTTGTTAATCTTCGGTGTCTGTTACGTCTTTGATCTCTTAACTCGTAACTCGTAAGGTAAAGTATCAACGGTCATCTTCACAAAGCCTGGTGGAGGGAATTTCCAAGAAAATAGTCCTCAACTGTTCAACAAAAATACGTTTATTTTTTTAACTTCAAATAAGCCAATTACTAGAAATTCCAAAACACTTAAGACCAACTAATGTTACCTTTAGCCCTGACATTTCGCTTGCTCGAGTTAAAAAGCAACCAATCTGTCACGGAAAGTGAACAGAAGTGATCCAAATGATCTCCAAGAATCCATCTTGACCATAGGATTTTAGGGAAAGGACAATCTCTAAGTAGATGTAAAATATTCTCCATGACACTTTGGACAATGAGGGGATGTATCAAAATCCCTGTTTCAAACAAATCTTTTTAGTTGATAACTTGTTACGAGCTACTAACCATAAAAAATGCTTCACATGAGCAGGGATATCAATTTTCATATTTTGTTCCAAGAAAAATCATGTAATGCTGTGTCTATAGTCAAGGCATAAGCACTTTTAACTGAAAACAGACCGTTACATGCAGGTGATTATATGGTTAGATCCTGTCTCATGTGCGTTGAATTCGATGATAAGGAGATCAAAGAAAGTTGCTCCAGAATTTCGTTTGATAAACAGTTTAACCTGTTCCAATCTCATTATCCCCTACTATCCACCAATTAAATGACCTTACAAATTTCAATATCAACTCAAATACGAGAGATGCAAGCTTCCCTCAAAGGTTTATCTCCCAATCATTATCATGAGAACAAAAAAAAAAAAAAAAACTCGTTTTCTGTTTCGAACCAGTTTTTTTCTTCTGCAATTAAAAATCTGGGAGTAAGATCAAATTTGTTGGTATATTATAGTAATAAATTTTATCATAATATTATAAAATTGTTGATTTTTATATTAATAACATAATTCAATATTATACCGTAATACAACGACAAATACCATAATACAAGCCAGAGTTGATACCATTAGAATATTTTTATGGCTGTTGTGATGATGTTTTGTAGATTTGAAGGTTTTTTTTTTTAAATCTAATTCTTCTGATGCAAATATAATTTTCAGAGAAGTTGAAACTTTATATCGAAACAATAAAATAAATAAATAAAAAATTTATTAATGAGTAATTATGTTTTGTAATTTACAGGGAAATTTCATGGCAACTACCTATGGCTACTGTTTGTGATAAGAGTGAGCAGAAATTGATGGTTCTAACTTCTAACCCTGGATAATTGGAGTTAGCAACTTAGCATTTTGGCACTAGTGGGAATGTGGGAAGCGCTTGCCCTACGGCCTACTTCACTTTTCGCTCGCGTCCATCGTTAGATGCTGCAAGCATCACTCGCATTGATCGAGTATTGATTTTTTTAATTAAAATTCTATTATTATGAAAATATTTTGAAAATAAAAATTTTAATATATTAGATTGAGTGAGAAAATACATCCTTAAACTTATTTGAAAAAAATTAAATTTAAACAAAATTTAAAAATATGATGATCTTATAAAAGATAGTTAATGAATTTATATCATTTTTTTCTGAAAAAAAGACTATAGTCAAATATCCCAATACTTGTTATATTAAATTTTTTTCTTTTCTTTTAATATATCTTAAAATAATTTAAGCTTAGCATTATAATTATATATTTATAACTTACCACAAAAGTTGTCTCTAATATATATTGAGGGGATAGGTAAGTAATGCAAAAAAAAAAAAAAATTAAAGGGTAATTTGGAAAAATCATGCAAAATTAAGCAATGTAAAATCAATTTTTTTTTGCCTTTTTTCTTCTCTTACAAAAAAAAAAAAAATCCTTAAAACACAACAAAACTCTCTCAAACTTCTCTGTTCGAAAAGATCGGCCACCGCCGTCTTTCATCATGTCGTAGTCATTGTCGGTTGCCAAAAATCTCCTAAAAAATGCCAAAAAATCATCTTGGCCCCTTCTACTTACTTTTAACCTAAATTTTGCTTAAAACTATCCTAAAACTCCTAGATCTAAACGAAATCCATCGGTTCAAAACCCAAAAAACAAAAATCTTTCCTTTTTTTATATGTGTGCTTTTTTTTACTGATTTTTGTTCTAGGGGATGTGTTTACTGATTTGTGTTTAGGTTTTTTTTTCTTTTTGGTTTCCAGTAAGCTAGAAAGATTTTTATTTTTTTTTCATTTTTTTTAATATTTGGATAAAGGTCTTTCTTTCCCCCCCCTTTTTTTTGACAATAATTTTCTTGATTACAACTTTGGCTTTTTCATCTCCTTTGTAGTTATTCACTGTTGCATCCTTTCTATTCTTGGTTCAAGTGAGTTTTTGAATTTTTTCCCTATTTGAGACTATAAAAGATGTTTTTTTTTATAACTTTAATTTTTTTAGGTTAGGATTTTTAGATTTTGTGGCCATGCAAGACATACTATGTTTTGGATGTGTTGTTTCCATTTATGATTTCTAATTTTATGCATTCATTTCTTTGAATAAGTTAATGAAGTTTTTCATTTGCATGTGTTGAAGGTTATTTTTTTAAGAGTGTTGAGATAGATTGATTGCTTATTTGTTGTATGTTGCTTCAAATATGAACTATACAATTATGGTTCAAACTGAAAAAATGATCTATTCAAGAAAATAAAAAAATAGAGCTGAACCTTAAGAACCTCTCCTCTAATCTTTTTGGAAAAAAATTATCTGTATTTTTTGTTTTGTAATTCGAAGATTTGAGAAGAGTTTTTAAGCTGTCATAAAGTTCTAAAGAGATATAGTTTCTCTTTTGATTTTAAACAAATGGCGTTTGTACGAACGAAGCTACTTTTTCTATTATGTGCTATGTCTTACGCGATCATTGCCATTGCAGGGTATATGCCTATGTCTCTTTGTGGCTCTCTCTTTTTTTTTTTTTTTTTAAATAAATGGTGTTTATGCATGCATGGAATTTTGTGGTGATATTGTATTAATGAAGGAAAAGTTATTACGAGGTATTGCAAGTGTTGAAAGGGGCATTAGATGAATAGATCAAAAGAGTGTATAAGAAGATGACATTGAAGTATCATCCTAATAAAAACCTTGGTAATGAAGAGGCTAATAAAAGATTTGCTGAGATTAAGAATGGTAAAATATCTTTTTCTATATTTAATTTTTTCTTTTATGAAAAATAAATTGTGATGAAATTAATTGGATTTTCTGCTTGGATGATTAATCTATTTGATGAATGATTAGCATACGAGTTGTTGTATAGCGAAAAGAGGGGAATCTATGATAGGTATAAAAAAGAGGGCCTAAAGCAACATGCTGCCAATTGAGGCAAATGAGGAATGGGGTTTAATATTCAAGACATCTTTAGGATGTAAGATTGTTGAAAATCTATTTCTTTTATTCAAATCGCATCATGTTTGATTATCTTGATAGTAATATGGTAATAATTAAAATGCTATGCTAAGTATGTGTTGGCATTGTACCCATAATTTATGAGTCTATTAATGCATTTTAGGTTTATCTTAAGTATGCTAATGTTACCCACCTTCAACTTCACCCTTTAGTTGAAGTTAAAATCATCAATAAAATGTTAGTTATTGACTTATATTAAGGATAACATGCGTTAACAATCGTTTTAACCTCTATGAACTGTCTTCCTAATTTTACATTCTTTTAGTTCAAATGTGACTAGCTATCATTTTTGAGGCATTGTTCACTTTTAGTTATGTTATGTTAAACTCAACAACCTACAGTTGTTGATAAGATGAGGCTTTTCTTCAGGTTTTTTGATGGAGGCTAGACAGAAGAGGAAGAGTGAATCATGAAGGGTGATGATGTAATTGTTGAATTGGATGCAACATTGGAAAATTTGTACATAGAAGGTACTCTTAAGGTTAGAAATTAGTTTTTTATTTTTTTTAAATATATACAAAAGGATTTTCCATTACATTCATGCACTTTAATAAAATTTCATTTCATAATGAAACATTTATATCCTATTACTTTTTAAATTTAACTCCTACAATGCAATGACAACACTGTCTGGATTGATCCTTCGCTTTTCTTTTAAGTTGCCTGTAGAGGTTCAAATTTCAATCTATTCCTTTCTTTCTCTTTTGTCCCTTTAAACCTTTGTGTGGTGTTTTTTATCTTCTAAAGATTTGCTTCATTGGTAATCTTTTAATTAAGTTTTGGTAGTTGAAGTTGTTTCCATATGATTGTGAGATTTATCAGTTCTTTTGTTTGTTATTGTTTTAGTTGAATCTTCATAGATTTTAAATGATAGATGGAAGAGATTTCACTTCTTATTGATGCTGTTGCTCAAATTGATGAGCCATTTTTACTAGCCATAATGGTAATTGTGTTGAACTTCAACAAATTTGGGTTGCAGGGATATAAATTGGTATTTGCTCTAAACTTCAAAGGAATGCCTATCTTTTAATTTGAAAACATATACCAATATAATGAATTTTATTTTTTGGCTAAGTTTTTGGTTTACTAGGTTTGGTTGTTGAGAGTTGAGAAAGTCAACAATATAGTAAACAAGTAAAACACTAACAAAAGTAACAAGAAAAGACAAGAAAATAGTGCAAATAGTTTGAAATTTTAGTATATAGTTTGATGTATATGAATAATTTATTCAACTTGATTCCTTTGTATTAAGTGTAAGATTTTGGACTTTTTGGAGATTATTATCAAAATAAGTGGAAAAGATAAGTTTTTTAGAATTGTTGAAGGATGAGAAACTATTAAAAACTGTAATAAATCTTGACTTGGTGCATGTATAATAAAAACAGTAATAATAACAATAATAACAACAATAACACTATGCCTTATATCCTATGCTTTGGG